CTTCATATAATTAAAATTAATATGTATTTATTTTTTATAAAATATAAGGGAAGCGGCGCTTCCACCGCTTCTAATGACGGCACGCCATTGTGCCCTGCAGAACTACATTATCAATATACAGTTCAATGACAATATCCATGTGAAAACAACACTTAAGATTTTCTTCAAAGAAAAACTCGTCATTCTATGCTCAAGGGATTAAAAGTTTGTAGCAAAGATGGTAAGATGTGATTGATATTGATGGTGATAATTACCTACAAAACTGAACTATAATCATTATTGAATTAACTGTCAATGAAATTTTTTCAAATTGTCAAAATTTCACTCTTACAACCTGGTTGTGTGTGTGTTGTGAGTGTGCGCACATGTGCTTATACACGTATTTGTGTTGACATCTATTTTGTTTAATATCTCAGAAGGAGATAAAAATTAAGAAATGAAACTTGGCATGATAAGTTGTATATAACGGGCATTTAATGCTATTAAATTTTGATGATTAAAGGTCAAGAGGTAGGAAAATATGGGTCATATCTCAGCTGGGGTAAGGCTTAATGAAAATTTTACTCATTATTAGCATTCAAAATATTTTTAGAAACTAATTTCTATCCTCAAAATTATGCCTTTTGCCCTTTCATAATAATTAATAATATAAAAGTTATTTTTAAATAACATCTCATAACATATGGCACTTGTTGCTGAATTTTCTTAACAAATATCAATTCTTACTGAATAAATATTTATCTTAAAAACCTTTTGCTTTAATTTTTCTAATCTTAAATTCTGTTTTTCTTTTTCCATTTCTTTCATTTGTAATCTTTCTTTTACTTTTTTCTCTTTTTCTTTATCTTTTTCTTGAAAATATTGAATACTGTAATTTATATGATTGCTACTATTTTTTACATCTAAGGATTCATTCATTTTCAATTTATGTTGTTGGTATTTCCTTACTTTTTCACAATTTCTTTCCTATAAAATAATTTGAATAATAATTCTATAATCAACTTTAGATCAATTTCTTGTTCCTTACGGAAAGAGTTTGTTTGTTAAATCTCAACATAATTAAATAAAATTCACCATTTTTATATACTATCTCCTCATGTCTTTTTTCTCTGTTAGAGGCCGTTACATAAAAATAATTATAATTCTGATGAATTTTTGAATATGTTCTTACTCATTTTACTTCTTTCATGACTTGCAGCTATGTGTATTTCACTTTTCATCATCAGATGCACTTAGATTTTCTGAAATGTATGATGAGAAAACAGGAAAAATAGTAAGAGTATCATTAAAGTACCCAAGATTACATAAAGATGATGTTACTACTATTTTTCCCAACTGTACATTGTTTTTATCAATTGCCTCTAATAAAAGAAAATTTTCAGATAAGAAAAAAACTTTCACAGAAGTTTGTTCTTCTGTGAAAGTTTTTTCTTAGAAAACGTATTAAGCTTGAGCATTAATGAAAAAGATTACGACTGTAGAATGTCTTAACAATTTAAAAGAACTTCCTTCTAAATTATGTAATATTTAGATTCTGTCTGGATGGGGTTCATCTTGAAGCCCATGCAAACAAAAATTCTGTTAGGGTTAAGGTCTTTTATTATTAACTCTAGTCTCAGTTTTTCAAAAGTAAATCAGGGTGTCATACCATACCGATACAATACAGGGTGTCATACCATACCAATACAATACATACAAGCAATTGTCTTCAAAAAAACTCTATTGAAGTTATTTACACAGATCACAAAGCAGTTGCAAACTTTACAGACTGCACAGAGAAAGAGAAAAAACACAACTATAAAAAATGGGATGAGATCTTGCACTCTTCTCACGAGCGCTATTGTTGGGGAGTTGTTATAAACAGAGGTCTAACACATTCCACCATTGATGATGATGTTCTCCTGAATCTGATATATGGTAAGTCATGGCTGACCACCAGAGATTTCACAATTAGCACAACGTAAACATTCCCATACACTCCAAAATTTACAAAGTCCAATATCACTACAACAATGTGCTAACACAGAGAAAAGATGACAGAGAAGCTGGCCAGTCTGGGCTGGGAGGTTCTGCTTTAGCTACCTTACAGTTCAGACTTGAAGACAACTGACTACCATCTACTTCATGCCCTGCCAGGGGCGTGCCATGACATTTGATGATAGGGAAGCTGTGTTTTTGTAACAAGCCGACTTTCAGGGGCAGTCAGTCAATGATGGTCTATGGTCCATTCGTATTCGTTTGTTTGATAAGCCAGTAAAAATCGTAGACTTCTCTAAATGTATTTTTAATTAATAGATTATCTAACGCACTTAATAAATAAGCAAGTTCAATATAATTAACTCTGTTGTATTAGATTTAATAGATTCTCTACGCCCTCTAAATGCCAATTCTCGCTTCAATGACATCTACTAATTAAATTATAATATATCTATTAGCCGTAACTATTTTGTTATAATTTTCAATATTTATTTTATATTGTGTACTAATGTTAAATTCTATTCTATTTTGATTTCAAAATTGCTTCAATTTTACGAAAGATTCGATGCGAGATTTAGGATTTTCATGTCTTTTGCCAGCTTTACTAAAATTATTTAAATCGTCAAAGCCAATCTCATTCCACACACTAATTTTATTTGAAAATAGTAGGCAAGGCCAACAAAACAATTTTTGTATTTTTATGCATCCACTGAGCCATTTTATATCTTCATAAATTTTATCGTGAAAATGTCGAACAAATTTTTTTGTTGACATATTTATATTTAATTTAGGCATTGGTCTTTCTCTTTTAATAATGTTTTCTTTTTCATTATAAGGTCTCAAGCCAAAACTTTTTGAAATAAATTTTCAATATCACAATTACATTCTAAATTGCTAGCTATAATATAAGGGCTAAAATTAAAAATAAAATTATAAAAACTTACTTGTTAAAATAAAATGTGTGAT